AATTGCAAGTGTTGAACAGGTCATTATTAACATAATGTATAATTCTTTGTCTGTATATTTTATTCATATTCACATTATTTGCTCGCGTAAAATTTAGCTTTTTTTGAGCAAATCTTTCCTCTCAAACCGGGGTTAATTACAGCTTTATTGTATCCTTGCAACTGGAATGAAGTTAGAAGAAAATAGGAACCTGGGTATATTACTCCATTTCATGGGGGTTATTGACGGCTATGGGGAGATAAAGCGGGGCTGTGGACCCACCCATTACTCTTGCTGGAGAAGTTAGTGTCGCCAATTTAGTGTAGGTTCCATGATACTGAGGATGACAATTCGTGTACTGCCTCCCCTTTCGAGTTAGAGCTCGTGGACAGCGCTAACCCTGCTGCTGAATGGAATACGGGCTTTTTGAGGGGTCCGTCCGTAGATTTCTGAATCGACGAAAGCGTTGACAACTTCGACATTCCGCTTGGGGGAAAATGGCACACAAGTGGTCGGGTTACGGGGACAACATGTTGAGGTTGTGATGGTTGTCCCAGGGAGCGGAGCCTAACGAACGAAAGAAAACGGAGGCAGAGTTGACAGAGAGGAAGTCATTGGGAGTGACCTGAAGTGGACGTACGAAGTAGTGATGACTTTGTGGTTTACGACACGGGTTAACACCGGTGAATTCAAAGTGAACCCTGGTGAAAATTCTGAGTTCAATTCAGGCAGTGTTGATAATATAGTTGATGTCAAATTGTGCGATTGGTTGATTTTGAAGTGAGTGTCAATCCTAAGATGGTGGTAGGAGAGGACATGTTTTAAAATGAATTTTTGTGATGCATTTGAATAATTTGTATATGTCATCCACGGGGGCTCAAATTTTGGGCGCCAGTGGTGATGGACAGTTAAGATAGCCAAGTTGTTTTAGAGAGCTGTGTTAGCTTTAAATGTATAGTTATTCTGACATTTTCCAGTAGTCAAGCCTTAAAGCCCATAAACTGTGAGGTGTTTTGATTGTATTGTTAAACATGAAACATGTGTTAAACTGAGCTAGAGTTTTTTTCTGAATTTCTGAGTTTTTTTTAATAATTGTATAATGACACTGATTTTGCATGATGTAAAAACTTAACCGTCGACATGGTTTACTTGATTAACATGGTTGTCTTCGTTGACATAACTGACATAGTTGACTTCATTGACTTGATTGACATGGTTGACATGGTTGACATATGTTACATGGCTGACAAAACTGACATGATTGACATGGTTGACCTGGTTGAATTGATTGACATAATTGACATGGTTAAATTGATTGACATAGTTGAAATGGTTGACTTGGTTGACGTATTTGGCATGGTTGACTTGATTAACATAGTTGACATGGTTGACTTGGAGGACTAGGTTGACATGGGTTACTTGATTGACATGGGTTACATGGTTGACATGATTGAAATAGTTGACATAGTTGAAATGGTCGACTTTGTTGATATGCTTGATATGGTTTATATGCTTGACATAGTTTACATGGTTGGCTTGTTTGGCATATTTGACATGGTTGAATTGTTTGACATTGTTGACATGATTGAATTGGGTGACACGGTTTACGTGGTTAATATGGTTGACAAAACTGACATGGTTCAATTTATTGACATGGCTGAATTGGTTGACGTAACTAACATAGTTGACACGGTTACTTTGGTTGACTTGGTTGGCATGGTTGGAATTGTTGACATTGTTGACTTGGTTGACATTGTTGGCTCGGTTTGACATTCTTGACATAACTGACATGGTTTACGTGGTTGACATGGTTAAATGGGTTGACCTTGTTACCATGGTTAAGTGGTTTTATTTGGTTGACTTCAGTTTAAAATTTTAAATAATAAAACACAAGTTCCTTTTGAGTTTTGACTACGGGTCCATAGGTCAGCGGGAAAGTTGTCACATAATAAATGGCATGGCATAGTTTATGTGTGTTAAATCTACGGACAAAAGAAATGTCCTGCCGTCTGCAAATATTTCATGTAAGAGCAAATAAGACTCTGCTTTTTACTGCGCTGACGCATCGCCCACTGGTCATTACTTGAACAACTATTTGTTGTGTCAGTGATACTTGAATGTCTTAGAGCAGGGGTCTCAAACTCGCGGCCCGCGGGCCATTTGCGGAAGCAAGACGGTATTTTTGGGCTCGCTACATGTCAGCAAAGTCTATTGTTTATGCGGCACGCACGTTTTCCTTATTCTCATATCTATAATGTGACCCTCCGCGGCGGATGCAGTCGAATCTCACCGACTAGTCTAATTCTAATTTTTACTATGCTTGTTTATTGTTAATAAAGGTTGAGCAGAATATAACCTTTGTACTTTAATGAATTTATTGCAATCGCATTTTTGTGTGGAATATTTGATGTTGTCCAGTCTCACTCAGACTCTAAGTCCTGCGGCCCCAGAATGATTTGAGTTTGAGACCCCTGTCTTAAAGTAAAAATTAATCATGTGTCTGAGCTTATCTCAGTTAGTTGTACAGTGACATCAAGAAGGGAGATGTAAACGTCCTGATGTAAGGAAAGAAGGAATTTTTTTATGTAGAATTAAATGGTGTTGCAATGAGAACATGGCATATAATTAAATTAATCAAATACTCCACATGGTTTAATGAGGCCAGGTTGAATTTCATTGCCATGAATTGTATTAATAGTCTTACATGAATTATAAATCCATCAATTATTGTTATGTCATGCATCGTAAAAAAATTATGTACGAGGGGTTTGTTAGAGCCACTAGTTTTTTTTTACAAAGTGTATATATTTCATGGATGCTAAAGAATAATGGAAAAGATGGGACAAATAAGTAGATTCACTGAAAGCGTGGTTATCAACCCATAGACGGTGGAAAAATTGACAAAAGATTGAGGATCATGGCGTGCTTCTTTACATAACGGCTTATTACAACATGAAGCCAACAGGACGGTAGCTGCAGATCACAAGCGACAAGCAAGAAAACCACGAGCAACTCATTACCTGTAAATGTCCCACCCAACCCTAGCAGTTCACAAGAAAATAACGTGTCAGACTTTGTCTCAGTAACGCAGACAGGATTATAAGCAGGACGAATACCAGGATCATAGGCAGGACAAATCCCAGGATCACAGGCAAGATGAATCCCAGGATCATAGGCAGGACGAATCCCAGGATCATAGGCAGGACGAATACGAGGATCATAAGCAAGACGAATCCCAGGGTCATAGGTAGGTGATCCCAGGATCATAGGCAGGACAAATCCCAGGATCATAGGCAGGACGAATACCAGGATCATAGGCAGGACGAATACCAGGATCATAGGCAGGACGAATACCAGGATCATAGGCAAGACAAATCCCAGGATCATAGGCAGGACGAATACCAGGATCATAGGCAGGACGAATACCAGGATCATAGGCAGGACGAATACCAGGATCATAGGCAGGACGAATACCAGGATCATAGGCAGGACGAATACCAGGATCATAGGCAGGACTAATCCCAGGATCATAGGCAGGACAAATACCAGGATCATAGGCAGGACGAATACCAGGAGCATAGGCAGGACGATACCAGGATCATAGGCAGGACAAATCCCAGGATCATAGGCAGGACGAATCCCAGGATCATAGGCAGGACGAATACGAGGATCATAAGCAAGACGAATCCCAGGATCACAGGCAGGACGAATACCAGGATCATAGGCAGGACGAATACCAGGATCATAGGCAGGACGAATACCAGGATCATAAGCAAGACGAATCCCAGGATCACAGGCAGGACGAATACCAGGATCATAGGCAGGACGAATCCCAGGATCATAGGCAGGACGAATCCCAGGATCATAGGCAGGACGAATCCCAGGATCATAGGCAGGACGAATACGAGGATCATAGGCAGGACGAATACCAGGATCAGAGGCAGGACGAATACGAGGATCATAGGCAGGACGAATACGAGGATCATAGGCAGGACGAATCCCAGGATCATAGGCAAGACGAATACCAGGATCATAGGCAGGACGAATACGATGATCATAGGCAGGACAAATCCCAGGATCATAGGCAGGACGAATCCCAGGATCATAGGCAGGACGAATACGAGGATCATAGGCAGGACGAATCCCAGGATCATAGGCAGGACGAATCCCAGGATCATAGGCAGGACGAATACGAGGATCATAGGCAGGACGAATACGAGGATCATAGGCAGGACGAACACCAGAATCACAGGCTGCACGAATCCAATCATGAAAATAGACATCATTTATATCGACGGAAGGACTATCATTGACATCCAGACATTCACATTCAGACATTGACATCCAGACATTGACATCCAGACATTCACATTCACATTCAGACATTCTCATTCAAACATTGACATCCAGACATTGACATCCAGACATTCACATCCGGACATTGACATCCAGACATTCACATCCAGACATTCACATCCAGACATTCACATCCAAAGTCAAAGGATTCACCTCCTTGTAAATAAATAGCTGGATCAATCAACCAAACAGAAGCCAAGACGGCAAAAGACTCAATGCTTATCTAAGATTTTGTAAAAAAATTATTTGAAAAAAGCCATGAACTCGGCTCAAAAGAAAAAGCCGAGGGTATGTTTAAAACACCAAGGTAAACTTACCAATGTAGCAAAAATGTTTAATATGATTTTAAAAAATTAAATAAAGGAAAACTTTTAGACATAAAATTTTACATTTTGAATTTCAAATTCGTTTTTGTAAGAATTAAAATTAAGTGGCCTGAAAATTGCCATTAGATCCGATTTAACTTTTCTATAAATGACATTTACTTTTTTTTTTCAAAATTGTTTTGAATAGACCAGAACTAAAGCCCTTTTAAATTTTTTTTTTTTTTTTTTTTTTTTTTTGGTTTTTTAGACCCCCGGTCAAGAAAAGAGTTTAATTTTAAAAATTTAAACCTTTTATAAAGATAATGAATTATTTGTGTAACAAATTCAAAATATACGTATGGGGCAAGTGCCCCCCCCCCTTGCCCCTACCTGCGGGCGCCCATGGTGTGGGGCCCATGCAGAACACACGAACAAAACTGACAGATATGAAATCTAACACATTTTAAAGTATATTTTTTTTATATCAGTACTTTTATGGAAAAAGGTCATGTAATTATAACCAGGTATCGTTTAATGTCTTACTTATATTGCAAAATATAAACATATGGCATTATTTTTTTTTATAAATAAATTTTATTTTAATACAAACTTTTCAATAACATATTAACTTATTATGGCATGACCTCCATTGGTGGCTAAAACCGATGCGTTCATCATGTTCAAACCCCAGCCCAGCCCCTATGTGACGCCCCTGCCTTCCTTCAGTTGTCAAGATGTGATCGCTGTGCATAATTCAATTTTATATCGGTACTTCACAAATGAAGTAAAATTTAATCGTTTCAATATTTGAATTAAAACAACTGAGATCATTCATAACGAAATCATTTACTGAGGCAATGTATAAAATGGTTTGGCAGTTTTCTGTTAAGCCGTTAAATAAATTGTTATCCGGCGTACCTTGAAGCCATGACGTGTAGCCCAAAGGTGTTCCACTGTGTCGGTTTACCCAACGACCTTCGTGCCCCTCATCTGTTCCACCGAGCAGAAAAGATTGGCCATGGGCTGCTGGCGCTCCTATCAACGTTTTAAGAAAATCAAATTCATTCTTATCATCCACCTCGGCCAAGTAGCCACCCAGGGCTTCACACGCCATTTCTGCATTGACTGCCGAGTGAGGTTCATACAGGGACAAGTAATACTGATGGCCGTTAAGAACTGTGGATGTCTTGAAAATTGTTGATTCCAAATCATGAAGCTTCGTCTCCAGTTTCTGAAGTTTATTTTCAGTTTGAGTTGATTGAGCCGTAAGGTTTTTGAAGTCATTCTCCAGTTTCTGTAGTTCATTTTCAGTTTGAGTTGATTGAGCCGTAAGGTTTTTGAAGACATTCTCCAGTTTCTGTAGTTTATTGTTCATTTCAGACTCTAGTTCTAGAAGCATATGTGTTAAACTGCCGACTGATGGTTGTGTAAAGGTGACAGTTTTATTTTCATTGAAAACAAAAATATCATCTGCGTGGTTAAAGACATTAGCTTTACACTGGTAGGTCCCAGATTCTGAAACCTTGGGGTTCAACCATTCCAGAGTCAGGAATGATCCAAGCGTTGAGTCAATGACTCCATTACCTCTGCTCATGCCATAGCTGGGGGAATCTATGTGCACTATGGAATGCGAATCTCTATGTATTGAGGCAAGTTGCTCCAATGTGGAATTCGCTAACAATTTTTTTAGTGCTAAAGAAAAAACTTGATATCCAGATGATGGTTGTGGGGGAAATCTGCAGGTTACAACAAGAGATTTCGTAATCTCTGATTCAATGACAGCGGGGGTCGTCGTAATTGTTACTTGACCAACTGAAGGGGATAAATCATCAACATTTTATCTTTTATATAAAAACAGGGATTAATGCAGTTTAAGTATAGTATACTATTTCATCCATTGTAAAAATTCTTTAGCTGAATGTATTAAATTAACCATAATGAAATATTAAGAAATGTTCATTGTTTAGATTACCTGTAAACTGAATTCCATTCATAAAAAAGAAAAGCATTCGGAAAGCTATGAAATCCATTGTAGATAGTCAACGTTAACGTTGAAAAGCTGTGATGTTTTCAGTTGGTGAGCGAATATGCAAAAGCTATTATATAGGCCTGCACCAACTTATCCATGACAATGATTCTCAACTTATCCAAAAAAGGACATTATTCATATTATGTATTTTATACTTTCCTTTTCGAAAAAACTATGACATAATTATTTTAGAACTATTTTATTTTAGAAAACTGGGAAATATTTTCTTCTTTATATTTATAAAAAAAAGTATTTAATAAATTATAACTTTTTACAAATTATTTTTAAGCATTACTATAAGCTATTACATTGTTTAACTTTTCTTGTTTTCAATACTTCGAGAAACGATGTCATATTTTATATTATTCTTATGTTCAGAAATACTTTAAACCATTACATACATCGATTAGCATTCGATAAAGAATTTTTTTTACAATCTGCTGCACAGTTGAAACATTTTTGCTAATGTCAACTTTTGATGGGATCCATTCAGTAACTTGGTCGGAAGTAATGGTGTAAGTACAATTGAATGGAGATGCAATTTCTTTTTTTTTTTTCTTTTCTCCAATGGGGAAAATTTTTAACTGAAATTTCTTTATTTTCCTGATTCTAGTTTGATATTTCGTGCTTTGTAAATTGCGTTTCATTTCATCAATAAAGTCATCAAAAGACGACCACTCCTCAAAACTGCAACGCTCTCTAAATCATGTTCCCTTGCAACAGTGCAGAGATGGTAACAGTTCCTGAAATCAGGTTCCCTTGCAAAAGTGTAGAGGTCGTAGCAATTTCTGACTGACTTGCATTATGTATTTTTCTCCCAAATTTCCGAAATCTCCTACTGAATAAAATGAGCGATCAATCTGACCTCCTCTACCTATGTTTGTCAATCATTATTCAAATTTTATGTGGATTTTATTGTAGAAATAAAACTTTGGTCAAAATTAAAAAAACAACAAAAACATGATGATATCTTTATAAAATAGTTAACATTTTAAAACACCACAAAAAAAAAAAAATAGAGAGAGAGAAAAAAAATATAGATAAAAGGCCGCTAGAACTTTAGAACTTTAAAATCGTGACTCAACTTCAAGATAAAGTTGTGGTTAATGATTTTTTAAAGTTTGATTTTGTACATTATATGGAAAAGATAATATTTTTGAAAGTAATCAAACTAGGTTCCAGAAGATGCATGAATGTTCACGGGACAATCAATACAAGGTACACGATACCTTTAACAGTGGCGTCACTAGAGGGAATGAAGTCCCGGTAAGGCACTTTCGGTTTTTATATATATTGTTATTATGCTAGTTGGCCCAGCGGTCTCAACTGATTCAATCCAAATAGCTTGTGGCAGTGGCGTAGCTAGAGGATGCGAGGGATGCGGACCGCACCGGGTGTCACCATCTCAGGGGGTGACACCCAATTGAAAAAGTGCATATTTACAGAGCACACACTGCTCGGTACAACCGATTTTTTTTAAAAGGATAAGAAATCGCAAAGACATTTTCTAAACATTTAACCAATCCCAATGCGTACTTTATTAAAAGTTGTATGCTGATGCGTCATAAACGAGGTGACCCTATAATTAGGTCAGAAAAACACCGTTTAAAAATAACTTTTGTTATAAGGCATTTAAAAGGCTAACCAGTGACGTAGCTAGGGGTGTGGATCACAATGGGTGACACAATCCCAGGGGGTGACGCCAAATTGAAAAATTACATATTTACAGAGCACACACCGTTCGGTCAAACGGTATTTCATAAAAGGCTAGCCGATCACACGCAAATTTTCCACACGTTTAACTAATCGCATTCATCATCCTCGGTGGCGCTACAGCCCATCAACTAATCCCATTTATGCGTCAGAAACACCTTTTTGACCATTATTCAACGCCGATTGAAGTGTTAGGTAACTTTCATAAATAGCAGGGAGCAATATTTATCTAAATTCTGAGAAGTAAAGCTTTCCACTGAAACCATATATGATATGGTCTGACATTCTAAGTAAATGAATCGAATCGGTGAAAATTTAAAACATTATAAAATAATTTTATATATATTTTTAGGGTCAACAAAATAATATGTTACAAAATTTTCTAATAATTTTTAATAATTAATTTAAATGTATTGGATTTCACGTTATCTGCTGTCTTTACCATTGGGATTATCTACTTGAGGAAGTTAATCTTAAACAGAAGTATCTCCGGACTAAAGGCTTTACGCTTGACAAAGTGGTGACCAACCTAGAGGCTTTAAGATTGTTTCAGCTCGAGAGGTGCTTTAACTTTGTGAAACATACTATTAAAGATGAACTTTTAAAATCAGATCCATACGGAATTTTGGTAGCTGCCTAAGGAACCAGCTTGTCCTCCTAAAGGAAAAGCCCAGGCGGTGTCCTTTCGTCCTGCGAAGTCTTCACCATCGTCTCATCGAGGCGGGCGGATGCCATGGGGAAAAAAGGACATTTTTTTTTTTTTTTGACAAGGGTTGTAGATTTATTCAAGGTACACCACTTTCCAGTCGAGACACATTTGATCTAAATGTTTTGTATGAGAAAACACAATGGCTGTCCAGATCCTTTCGAGTTTTTAAAAGATGGTTTCTTGAAGGTGCCGGACAGATTGAATTATTTCTCGAATGGATTATTGACGTTTTATCTGATGGAATATTGTGGAACGTGTTTGTATTTATTCATTGTATCTTATCATTGTCACTAGGCTATACTCATAGCAATATTTATTATTCGAGTCATCTATTTCATGTAATAAAGTACTGTATAAATTATTAATTGGACGGTATTCATTGAATCTGTTCCTCTCTCACTTCTTGAGTGAGAGAGGAACAGATTCAGATTAATTCATTATTCAACCAATAGCGGCAAGCCATCCATTACAATGAGCTTAAGTATTAGTTAACAATGTTACCACCAAGGATTGTCATATCAATGATATAACATAGTTACATTGGTGTCGTAAGCATTGTTATAAAAATATTTATGAAATGAAAGTTGTTAACGCAATAATTGCTCAGTTGAAAGGGATTACAATATTTCGACAAAAGGCTTGGATTGATTGAAAACTACAAATTATTTGTAAGTTCGTTTCCTCTATAAAAGCATTTGTCAATGCCCTTCTGTTAGTAATTCAATTCATCTTCCGTGCAACCCGCCCTAAAATGAAATATTCGAAAATTAAAATTATCAGAATAAATTATAAAAACTTCTGAATTTGTGGGTACATTTTTATTTAATTATGTATGTTTGAAATAGTATTTTGAATAATATAAGTGAATGAAAAATGAATTAACACGAATCATATAGTGGCTTATTATATTGAGGACCACCTATGTTCAAACTTTCTCAGAGATGGGAAATTTTGTATAAAGTGTAGATCCAACAAGGCTAATAAAAATAAACTCATTAAACAATTTAAAAAAATAGAAATTATAACCTTAAAACCATCCACATATCAACTGTTAACGTGTTATTAGTTATTCCTTAAACTGGTTTCATATGTTAGTTATGATCTTGCTATAATTATTTTAAATGTATTGAAACAGAATTCAGTTCATTATCAAGAAATCTAGATTCCTAGAATATCATGCAGCCCGGAAAAAATAAAATGATTTATTCCCATGCGGACCTTTTCTACAACAATAATAATAATTCACCCCTGCTCTGATGTGGAAAATTGAACTTTAGACCTAAAATTTTGTTTTCGCAAACTGTAAATAGTTGAGAGATGAAGTTGTGTGACAAGATGGTTAAACTGACAAATGTTTCTTTCTTTGATATCATGAAGTTATCTCAAAAACTGCCTCATAATAGAACAGACCCACAACGTTTTCAACCGTCGCAGGTGTCGAGCAGATCCTAATTAACATGACTGGATATCACTTTGAAGGAGAATGTTTAAAACTGTGGTGAGATTAAATTACTAAATTTTAAAAAAAATAAAAAATTATAGAGTCAAATCAAAATTCACCTTATCATGAAGCAATCGTCAACAATTTTCATTGAAAAAAATTAACCAAGAGTTGGCCCTCAAAACTCAAAGATTGACACTGATTTAAGCACTTGGCCTCAATGCCTCAAGGATATTTGTATTGTCTCACACCTGATTTTTTTTATTATTTTTTTTTTAAGCTGTGTGATGTTGTAATTTTAAAATTGTATTTAACGTCCAGTTCTCTGAAATTGATGTAACAGGTTGTAATAGTAACAAGGATTTTTTTTTAATGTGAGTGTGGTAGCATTAAGGTCCAGCAGACTTAAGGTCACTTATAAAATACAACCCAAATTCTAGCCAGAACAATCCGTGGAAAAAAATTATTGGATCCTCAAATCTAAACTCATTCTTTGATATATTTAGCCTGCTGATTCCGAAAATTGCACCAGTTTTCGCGTCTGAGCATTAAACATGTATTTGATTCATTGTACAGCCTCATATATATATGTTTCTGGATTATAGTATACATTGCTATTGGAAAAGGTGTTCTATTCAGAGTGATTACAACGGATTAACGTTTAAAAAAATTTGATGAAAGGAACGAGTCATACGAGGATCGCAAAAAATGGTGTTTGGCGTCAGACAGTTACATGAGAAATAACTGACATAATGCAGATGTGTTGTGAGAGCGTCAGGTGACCGCTTGCCCAAAATAATATTTTAGGCAAGCTTGAACATGAAAGGCTATAGTTGAACTTGAACACGGTATGTGGAAGCTTGAATTAAGAAACAGGACGATGAGACAAAAACGTTTCGGCCAAGAGCCTTCACCAGCAGACAGGAGAGCTCAAAATAGGACAAGAATAATTAGAAACAACTTAATTATATCCTTAACACAGCTTGAAAGCTGGCCATTTATTATCCTTTGAGCATGAGAGGCGATTTGTTGCTGTGCAGGAGAGGGAAAACATATTAAAGACAACCTGATAGACTCACTTAAAGCATTCAGTATCAACCAGAATACATGGGAAGAATTGATCGGCAAAGTATCAAAAATCATGGAATGCCACTTTGTACAATGTCTTTATACAAAATGAAGCCAATAGAACTGTAGCTGCAGAGTGCACAAGACAAACCAGACAATCCCTTGTTAATTTAGTCAGTTGAAATGTCTCACCCACCCCTTGCATCTAGCTTACAAGAACATTCGCCTTTCTGGAAAACCACCCTCTTGTAAACAAATGGCGTGATGAAAACAACAAACAGAAAGCAAGTCTGCTATAAAGATTATGTTTATTTTTGCTATTGTAAAAAAAAGTCAAGTACTCCGATCGAACAAAAAGACAAGACTTTGCTCAAAATGTAAATCTACTCTTAAAAACCTTACAATTGCAGTTATTATGATGACACCATGATTCATCAATGATCTTTATACAGACTTAAAGACTACAAATAATTTGTGCAATGCAATCAAAACAAATGTTCATTTATTTTAATACATTTTCCTATCTTATCTCATGCTATTTTTTTAAAGAACCATGTTGCATGGAAATGTGCTTAATTTTTTTAAAAACCAAAAGCTCAGATTATAACAAACTTTCAATCTGTTCTGTCTCTATGGTAATAGCATTTAACTTTTAAACTGTGTATTGAATGCATGGACCGACTTCATTTAAACATTTTCATATGGTTTTATCTCAAAGGCTTGGGTTTATACATATTTTTGTGATAATATGATTGTGTGTTCTGTTACTAAAGCTGCATTGATCATCACATATTCCATTGAATGCCAATGATAATGAAAATAATTCGTAACAAATTATTATAACTCCTTATTATTTTTAACCTTCTGGAATCGTGTGCGAACAACTTATAGGATTTGTTTCCTTTGCGGAAACAATAAGAGGAAATCCTTCGGGTGAAGCCATTTCATGTAACTAAAGTGCGGTTTTGAGAAAAGTTTTTAAAAATCTGTTAGTAGGTCATGCACAAACATAGTTGTGTAAATATTAGCAATCCAACACAATATCAAATAATCCGTGTTGAGATTGCTGCTAGTGTTTACAAGTGAGGGAATTTCCGAGCTTGTCAGCTTGGTCACTTCAAAATAGGGTTAGTCAAAAATGCCTTTTCTACGATAAAAATCAAAATTTATTCTCCCTACAGCAGCATCTTCTTCGCATCAATAATTGATAAATATTGAATGCTCCTGCCTATTGCTTGAACACATTTAAGCATTTAAAGCGTTCATGGAGAAGGATGTGGTGGTTTGTTCCTGTACTAAGTCATCCCTAATGGCTCATGAACTTGAATTTTTGTTGTTGACATTACACAGGAGCGTAATGTTCTCAATAAAAAGTTACACGACCAAGGGCAGCTTGTCAGTTTTGCCTATGACAATGTCAGGGTATTCTGCACAAAACTTTTGCTAAGGTTCTTAGAGAAACCTCTGCCATTTCCCAACCTACAATGTACGCATTGACACAAGCACACCATTCAGTAGCAAAGCTACAGGAAGAAGTTAATCACATGTTGTTAGACTTCAAAATACACAGAGACAATTTTCAACTTTTTGATGTGTGGAAGATGCCGTCCCCTCCTTTACTTTATCGCTTCAAATTGAGCTGATTGATTTTCAGTACAATTCTAATTTCAGGGAGGTGAATGGAAAACAGACAAGCATGAACACTTTATGAGAGCATTGCCCCCCACCTTTCCTGAGATTACCAGCTTGTTCAAGCGGATCATGTGCCCCTTTTGGGGGTACCAATCTGTGTGAAAAGCTTTTTTTCCACTATGAATTTTAACCATTCAAAGTTTAGGGCAAAACTTACTGATGAGCATCTTCAGGCTGTACTGAGGGTCTCAGTTGCTTTCTCACTCAAGCCAAAAGTTTTGCTGTGCTAGAAGAAGCACTTTCAGGTTTCTGTTACATGGAGCAGGATGAAGAAAGTGAAGCCTAGTTCTTGAGAACCCTTAATATTTTTATTTGCTATTAATAAAGTTGTGCTGAATTTAACAGTTAAACTTTAATGAATTTATTGTAATCGAATTTTTAGTGCAATATTTCATGTTGCCCAGTCTCACTCAGACCCTACGTCCTTATGGCCCCCGGATGATTTGAGTTTGACACCCCTGTCTTTTAGTAAAAATTAATCATGTGACTGAGCTTATCTCAGTTATTTGGACACAGACATCAAGAATGGTGATGTAAACAATGCATATAATTCAATTAAACAAATACTCCACATGGTTTAATGAGGCCAGGTTTAATTTCATTGCCATGAATTGTATTAATAGTCTTACATGAATTATAAATCCATCAATTATTGTTATGTCATGCATTGTAAAAAAATGATGCACGATGGGTTTGTTAGAACCACTAGTTTTTGTATAAGGTGTATATATTTCATGGATGCTAAAGAATAATAGGACAAGTGGGGACAACCGAGTGGACTCACTGAAAGCGTCGTTATCAACCCAGAGACGGTGGAAGAATTGGCAAAAGATTGAGCATCATGGCGTGCTTCTTTACATAAGGGCTTATTGCAACATGAAGCCAACAGAGCGGTAGCTGCATATCACAAGCGACAAGCCAGGAAACCACGAGTTACTCATTACCTGTAAATGTCCCACCCAACCCTAGCAGTTCACAAGAACATTACGTGCCAGACTTTGTCTCAGTAACCACAGACGGGATCATGGGCAGGACGAATACGAGGATCACAGGCAGGACTAATCCCAGGATCATAGGCAGGACGAATCGCAGGATCATAGGCAGGACGAATACCAGGATCATAGGCAGGACGAATCCCAGGATCATAGGCAGGACGAATACCAGAATCACAGGCTGCACGAATCCAATCATGAAAATAGACATCATTTATATCGACGGAAGGACTATCATTGACATCCATTCACATTCAGACATTGACATCCAGACATTGACATCCAGACATTCACATTCAGACATTCTCATTCAAACATTGACATCCAGACATTGACATCCAGACATTCACATCCAGACATTGACATCCAGACATTGACATCCAGACATTGACATCCAGACATTGACATCCAGACATTCACATCCAAAGTCAAAGGATTCACCTCCTTGTAAATAAATAGCGGGATCAAACAACCAAACAGAAGCCAAGACGGCTACTGACTCAATGCTTATCTAAGATTTTGTAAAAAAATTATTTGAAAAAAGCCATGAACTCGGCTCAAAAGAAAAAGCCGAGGGTATGTTTAAAACACCAACGTAAACTTACCAATGTAGCAAAAATGTTTAATATGATTTTAAAAAATTAAATAAAGGAAAACTTTTAGACATAAAATCATTTACATTTTGAATTTCAAAATGTTCTAAAAAATCCAAGCGCTATAGCTTGTGACCCCCTACACCGAAGCTGACGTTTTGTAAGTATTAAAATTAAGTGGCCTGAAAATTGCAATTAGATCCGATTTAACTTTTCTATAAATTACGTTTACTTTTTTCACAATTGTTTCATATAGACCAGAACTAAAGCCCTTTTTTTAATTCTATTTTTTTTTTGCGGGGGGGGGGGCGGGGGGGGGGCGGCTATTGGGGTATTCAAGAAAAGGGTTGCCTTTTAATGGCTAAAACCTTTATACAGATAATGAATTATTTGTGTAACAAATTCAAAATATACGTTTGGGGCATGGGCGCCCGCAGAAAACTTTCTAGGGTGGAGGGTGGGCAAAAAAAATCGAATAACCTTCCAGGGGGGGTGGCACAATTTTTTTAGTAATGTTTTAATATAGTTTTAATTTACTGTAGCGTATTTGTATGGTGAACGAACGGACAGGACATCAGCTTAGTTACTTTCTCTTTATTTTCTCTTTACTTTAAAAAAGTTATTGTCTATTTTTGTCTAATTTTTTTTAATCCAATCAATCCAGGGGGGGGGGCAAGTGCCCCCCCCCCTTGCCCCTACCTGCGGGCGCCCATTGTGTGGGGCCCATGCAGAACACACACGAACAAAACTGACAGATAGGAAAACAAACACATTTTAAAGTATATATTTTTTTAATATATTCAAAGGTTGTTAAATGAATGCATCAGTACCCTTATGGAAGTAGGTCATGTAATTATAACCAGGTATCTTTTAATGTCTTACTTTATAGAGAATAATATAAACATATGGCATTATTTTTATTTTTATAAATAAATTTTTATTTTAATACAAACTTTTCAATAAAATATTAAGTTATTATGGCATGACCTCCATTGGTGGTTACAACCGATGCGTTCATCATGTTCAAACCCCAGCCCAGCCCATATGTGACGCCCCTGCCTTCCTTCAGTTGTCAAGATGTGATCGCTGTGCATGAAACAATTTTATATCGGTACTTCACAAATGAAGTACAATTTAGTCATTCCAGCATTTGAATTAAAACAAGTGACATCATTCATAACGAAATCATATACTGAGTCAAAATGCACCATGGCTTGGCAGTTTTCTCTTACGCCATTAAATAAATTGTTATCCGGGTTGCCTTGCATCCATGACGTGTAACCCAAAGGTGTTCCACTGTGGCGGTTTACCCAACGACCTTCGTGCCCCTCATCTGTTCCACCGAGCAGAAAAGATATGCCGTGGGCTGAAGGCATTCCTATCAACGTTTTGAGAACATCATATTCATTCTTATCATCCACCTCGGCCAAGTAGCCACCCAGGGCTTCACACGCCATTTCTGCATTGACTGCCGAGTTAGGTTCATACAGGGACAAGTGATACTGACGACCGTTAACAACTGTGGATGTCTTGAAAATTGTTGATTCCAAAGCACTCAGCTTCGTCTCCAGTTTCTGAAGTTTATTTTCAGTTCGCGTTGATTGAGCCGTAAGATTTTTGAAGTCATTCTCCAGTTTCTGTAGTTCATTTTCATTTTGAGTTGATTGATCCGTAAGATTTTTGAAGTCATTCTCCAGTTTCTGTAGTTTATTTTCAGTTTGAGTTGATTGAGCCGTAAGGTTATTGAAGTCATTCTCCAGTTTCTGAAGTTTATTTTTAGTTTGATTTGATTGAGCCGTAAGGTTATTAAAGTCATTCTGCATTCTACGTAGTGTATTATTAGTTTGAGTTGATTGTGCCGTAAGGTTATTGAAGTCATTCTCCATTCTACGTAGTGTATTGTTAGTTTGATTTGATTGAGCCGTAAGGTTATTGAAGTCATTCTCCATTTTCTGTAGTTTATTTTCAGTTTGAGTTAATTGATCCGTAATGTTATTCAAGTCATTCTCCAGTTTCTGAAGTTTATTTTTAGTTTGAGTTGATTGAGCCGTAAGGTTATTGAAGTCATTCTCCGGTTTCTGTAGTATATTGTTCATCTCATTCTCTAGCTCTAGAAGTCTATTCGATAAACTGCTTACTGATTGTTGTGTAAAGGTGACATCTTTACTTTCATTGATAACAAGAATATCATCTGCTTGGTTAAAAGCATTAGCCTTACACAGGTAGGTCCCAGATTCTGAAACATTAGGGTTCACCCATTCCAGCGTCAAGAATGATCCCAGCGCTGAGTCAATGAGTCCACTACTTCTGCTAATACCGTAACTGGGTGCATCTATGTGCACTGTGGAATATGTAACTCTATTTATTGAGGCAAGTTGCACCAATGTGGAATTCGCTGCCAATTTTTTTACTGCTAAAGAAAAAACTTGATATCCAGATGATGATTGTGGGGGAAATCTGCAGGCTACAACAAGAGATTTCGTAAGGTCTGATTCAATGACAGAGGGGGTCGTCGTAATTGTTACTTGACCAACTGAAGGGAGTAAAAAAAAAATCAATAATTTATATTTCATATAAAAGACGGATTTGAGCTTTGTATATAATATACCATGTCATCCATTGTAAGAAGTTCTCAATAGAATGTATTTATTTTACAATTTAGGAAAAAACTATTTAAAATGGAACCCTTCTTGTTCCTAGTTCAGATAACCGGTACCTGTAAACTGAATTCCATTCACAAACAATAAAAACACTTGGAAGGATATCAAACCCATTGTAGACCAGAAACCTGAACGCTGGAAAGATATGATGTGTTCAGGTTGCAAGTGACTCAAGCAAATGTTATTATATAGGCCTTCCCCAATGATTCTCACCTTAACCAAAAAAGACAACCTTTTTTTATTATATATTTTTACCTTTGTTTTTTTGTATTTTCAGCAAACGGTGACATATTTTCTACTTTATATTTTTAATAAACCGTTTCTTAATTTATTAACTTTTAAAAAGAAATGTCAACATTACTTTGAACTAATGCATTTTGTTTGACCTTTCTTGGTTCTGAAGCAATATAGCATTTTTTAATTAAAATGCATATTCAACATCATACAAAGCTATTGACATTGCTTTATGTACAACTATTTTAAAAAATGTAATAGTCATTGAAATTATGTGTATGAGGTATTTCTTATTGAATTTAATTTCTTTATGTTATGTTTCTTTAGTTTAATGTATTCCTTTTTTTTGTCCTTCAGTTTTTTTTTCTTCCTTTCTTCTGTGTGTGTGTTTGGGTGGGGGGGGGGCCTTAAAAACTGAAATTCCATTATTTTCTTGATTCTATTTCGATATTCCAAACTTTGCAAATTGTATTTCCTTTCATCAATAAAGTAATACAACGCATTTTAAATCAGGTCCCCTTGCAACAGCGCTGAGATGGTAGCACTTTCTGAAATCAGGTCCCTTTGCAACAGCGCCGAGATCGTAGCCTCTACTTGTTTATTTGTTATTCGATGTTTCTTTTAAAGTTCATGGGCATGTATCGATTATTAGCTCACCGTGTTTGTTGTTGAGAGCTGAGATCAATGCCATCTGATCGTTGTAGTAAAATAGACATCTTGCACTTTACGGTGTCATGGGATCGTGTGAAGGTTTTTTTACAATTTCCCCGTTTATGGGAATACTTGTTTTCTTAATTTTTTTTTAAAACGAAAATAAATAAAAAAAAAGTGCATTGGTCTATTTAGTTGAAGAACAAAAAAGTTTTTTTTTTATAATAAGTTTCTTTATTAATCTTGCAAGCAATAACACGAGACTGAATAGTCAAACGTCAAAACATTTAGATACTGAAAGATTACAATTCTACTTTGTAACAATTAATCTCAGTTGTAAGTATGAGATTACACCTTTATTTTTTATTGTGTTTTTTTTTTAAATTGTAGGGTCATACAGTTTAGACTTTGACTGCACCAACTACTAACTATATCTTTATAATCAGCTTAATCTATTTTATAATCTAACGAGCCATGCATGGATTTTTGTTAATGACTAAAACACGTAGCTGGGACGAAACGGTTGCCTGGGAGCAGTCCCCCAAAAGGCTGCGTGATAAGAATCATCGGCAAGGGCGGCGACGACCCACCCATGCTTCAAATCCATCAACGGCCCCATGTCATCATGTCTCGACCTGTTTCTGGCAGTATTTTCAACTGCTCTTGGTGGTTACAGGGCATGGTGGGATATTTGCACCCCCCCCCCATCCTGAATTTACAGGTTTATTTAAATTAGTATGTACTGTGGCGTCTCCAGTAATACAGAAGTTAACAAGCCGACCACGGTTGCCCCCGCCAGCTCCCCCTCCCCCGAAAAAACCATGCTTCAAATCCAGCAACGGCCCCATGTCATCATGTCTCGACCTGTTTCTGGCAGTATTTTCAACTGCTCTTGGTGGTTACAGGGCATGGTGGGATATTTGCACCCCCCCCCATCCTGAATTTACAGGTTTATTTAAATTAGTATGTACTGTGGCGTCTCCAGTAATACAGAAGTTAACAAGCCGACCACGGTTGCCCCCGCCAGCTCCCCCTCCCCCGAAAAAACATGAAATGACGCCCCTGGCAGGTACCATGCAGTTGTGCTCTTTCTAACGCAGATTCCCTACAGGACCATTGTCTCTCACGTGCAGGTCCCCTACGTGTAGGGGATATTGTGCCCCATATAGCGTCCTGGGGGTCTGTGGTAAAACCTCTTGGTCGATGGCTCATTACAATTTAACACCGTTTCTTCCAGCTGATATTCTTACACTCTTTCTTTTCACAGATATTCTTCTACTGTTTCTCTCCACTGATATTCTTACACCGATTCTTTCAGCTGATGTTCTTAAACAGTTTCTTTCCGCTGATATTATTCTACTGTTTCTATCCACCGATACTATTACACTGTTTCTGTCCACTGATATTCTTACACAGATTCTTTCCACTGATATTCTTACGCTGTTTCTTTCCACTGATAATCTTCTACTGTGTCTTTCCCCCATACGATTACGCTGTTTCTTTCCACTGATATTCCTACACTGTTTATAATTAGTTCTAGAAAAGTCATTTAACAGTGTTTAAATAGAGAAATGAAAATACCATTATTTATTGTGTGTAGTACGGAGTATTATGTACTATGTCACAGCATAAACATTTTAAGCGATAAAAAATCTGCAAAAATACATTAAATTAAATACGCGTTCTGTCAATATGAAAGTCACCGTACGTATGAGGTGAAACAACTTACAAGTTAAAAATAGCATGTGCTTCAAACACCAAAATTGACATCGATTTTACAAAATAAAACAGAGATGATCTGCCCTTCGATATCATGGAGTTGTCTCTTGTCTCTTAAGTTGACTTAAAAAAACAAAAAAACAATCAAAATCGGCTTTTCATTTTTGGATCAAAAATTCTTTTCCTCTTGAAAGGTCAGCTGTAAACCCCTGTTCTGTGCTGCGCAATTGAACGTTGCATCATGTTTACTGTTGTACTTTTCTTGGCCCTGGCGAGGTCAAGTTTAACCAGATCGATAAATCGATCTAACCAGATCGATGAATCGATCTGTAGGCGACACCAAAATTTAATAATGCACGTTTTGGTGTCGGCACTTCACGATAAGAACATGTATTTTCTCTCGTGAAAACAACTGCATCACATTTTAAATAACAAAATAGACTTACTGGCAACAATCATGCAATTTTTTTTTTATTTTCTAGAATACAATTGTAAAGCGAATTTCTATTCAAAGTGGAAAATAATATTTACTAACACTGAATCTAATAATTATGGTAAAGCAAAACTCCTTTCCTGCTTGTAATTCAGTTGCCAGAAAAGACCCATGTCCAAATACAATTTGATATACTACTGATACTGTTGGGAATATCGACCGGGTCCAGGTAGGTATAAGGGAACATCCTCTCTGTGTTTCTGGTGCCAATGATTTTGCTGATTTCTGAAAGTTCCTGGTGGAACCTGGGGAGGGAATATTTCATATTGTGTACTAAAGTATTTGATGTGTGCCTTGTCATGTTCTTATGATGAGGCTGTGCAACCACGACTGTCAACCATGACTCTGCAACCACGACTGTGCAACCACGACTGTGCAAGCCACGGACGTGAATACCACGGCTGTGCAGTGGAAAACGTGATCAAGGGGTGACGTCTGAATATAAAACCCTCAGCTTGTTGAATCCATAAATTATTGATAAGCCAATATTTAAAGAGGGATAACTGACGATTCTGATGCAGCCCTCTGATGTTGACGGTCATGGTGGATGCCTGCGCACCCCCCCCCCCCCCC